TCATCTTCAGTTTCACTTTTTATTTGCTTCTATGGGAGTATATATCAGTGATGGAATGTATAATGTTTTATTTGTTTGAGTTGTTTTCTAGTTGTGAACCATTTTTCATTTTTTTTTTTTTTTTTTTGTTCCCACTCTCTCTCTATTAATCTCTTTCTTTTTCCAAGATGTTCAACTCTCGTTCTCTCTTTTTTTGTTTTTTCGTTCGTTTCTTTTTTTATTTATTTTTTTCTTTTCTACACATAAGGTATACGTTCCTTTGATAGTGGATACAACTCAATCACAGAATCTGCGTACACAAAGAGTTTGAAGTCACCGTTTTCTTCTGGAACTTTTGTGTGTGGAACGAATACAAAAGGAAGCGAATCTGCTATAGGTACAGTGGCCACAAGAGTAACTTCGCTATTCTTAGTGTATGGAGTAGTGGCTATGGGAGTCATCTCATTATCTTGAACATTCAAATCGAGAGCAACCTCCATTCGATTGTGTGGATTAATTATAATGGGTGGCAAAAATGCCTTCTTCTTTCCTGCCCTTTTAACAATAGGTTTATCCGGACCACGAGGATACTGCAGTAGGAGAGCCACAATCTGTGTGCGACGAAATGTATTTAAAGCTACAAAAGGATTATTAACCCAATTGCTATATCCATCTGCTCCCCCACCAGCAGTGTATCCAAGTTCCCAACTGCCCTCCACCATGGCGACTTGCTTCCATTCCTTCACGGGATTCATCTCCATTGGAGAGGCTGAGTAAACACCAATCGTTACAGAAGCCTCTCGGTAAGGCATACTGGCATACACAACAAGAATAAGTGTACATTCAGGCTCAACATCGACTTCACAATCTAGTGTAACCCCACCAATCTTCTCATCAGAACGACCAATCATATCTTCAGGGGCAATAACCAACTTTCTTCTTTGACCTTTTTCCCATTGATTATCTCCTCGCAGTACCATCATTCCAATCTCCGTAAATGTATCATTTACATCATCATTAGTTAAAGAAATAAATAGTCGTCCATGACATCCAAAAGGAAAAGTAAGAGCGAACTGTGGACTACTTCGCCAAGATGAGAAACGTGGTGATCCACCAACACTACCATCCAATAATGAAAAAGAAACACTCCTCTTTTCTCGATGCCAATCAAGTTTAGGATCTATGCTACAAAGCTTTAGTGAACGGTTAGCAATAGCTTCAATTCGAAATTTACCTCCAGGTGTGGCATCTGAAGAGAAAGGTACAATAATATAAGGCATTCCTCTTCTCTCCTTCATACCAAGAAGTCGTACGGAACCAGTGATGGAAGGTAAAACTTCTGCGTGTACAAGTAGAACAACAGAATCCGGATCATATTCCAAGAAACTACGACACGTTGTCGCACGATGAACAGTAAAACCAATGGATTTAGGTAATTCATTAACTGGGACTTCTTGATGAAGCGAGAGAGTAACCTCAGTAGTTTCACTTGGAAAAATAAAATACTGTGGACAATCTCGCCAAAAAAGTGAAGAAGGATTACCTACCGGGTATTCACTTGGCCATTCACCAGAAACTGAAGTTCGTTTATCAGGTTCCACCGGAATTATTTTAACAGTACAATGTTCAGACCATGCAGAAAGAAGAAAGGTAGCATTTGGAGCCTTTGGATCTTCCTTAAAAGCAATAAGAGTGATACGTTTCTTTCCACTTACATTTTCAAGATCTACAGTTAAGGGACAAAGTGTATCTCTACATTTACAAGGTTCTACACGTTTTATTACTTCATTCTCTTTTACTTTTTTGAGAATAATTGTATTATCCTTTGTTGCTATAACTGCCAAACCGATAGCTGTACGGTAGGTTGCCAAAGCATTCTTATCTCTTAATATCTTAGCACGTGGATCAAGTTGATGAAGACCAATAAGGATTTGAGTACTTTTCATATCTGGAGGAAATTCACCAAGTTCTAGAGTAAATTGAGATCCACCTACAAGTCGACTTTCACATCCTTTTGGACAATCTGAAAAATCTGATAAAACCCAAGAATTATTCTCAGTTCCTGCAGTCATGATAATATCTGTAAAATAGAAAAGTACTTCATCAAATGATAACCAAAACGTTTCTTTATCATCTTCTTTAAACTCAAGTATTTCACGAAGAGTATCGGTCCATTTTGGACTATTTGCGCGCCACTTTCCAGACCAATTAATTTCTCCTGATTGTCTCCAATGACATAATTTTACCAATCGTTGTCCTTCAACAAAACGGGCATCTAATATAGGATAGAGATGATCACTTAGAATTCCCAAACTACATCGCTCAGATGCACCATTACTATCACTTCGAAGTAACAAAGTAATAAGAACATCAGGTTTAACAGCAGTTTTTACTTTCATCCATAAACGTTCTTGTTCCTTGTGGTGAAGTTGATTGCTAGGACTAAGCATATAATTAACGGTAATACAACCAGAAAGATCCATAATTCCTTGACACATAACCTCTACTGTACTAAGCTCTGGTGTTACTTTTCGTTCTAACGCCTCATAACAACGATGTGCTTTAGCGTATGCCTTTTCCAAAAGTGGAAAAAAGAAATCTGCCTTATCACTTTCGGGATGACCCATACAAAGCTCTGTTGTATTGTCAAAGGGGAGATAATCATCAATAGTTACTACAATCCATTTACCATCCTTAAAAAAACGAAACTGAGCAAAACCATCAATCATCTCATATCCAATCGTTATCATACGAAGAAAACGTGGTTTTGTAGATATAGCATAAGCAACGGATGCAAACCATTCACGTTTGGAGTATGGAAATGGGCAGTCCGTTTTAAAATCTGGAAGAAACACAACTTTCTCCATTACATCAGTTGGACGTTTCCATTGAATATCTTTAGGAAAACCTGATGGAGGCTTTGACTCTGGATCTAACCATAATGATGATCCACCACGAGGAAAATCCCGATCTATATATTTTTCTCCAGTAGTCAAACATTTACGGAGAATTTGATTACGTTCCATCATAACATCTTCAGAATCTTCAATTTTTAAGTGATTTCCTAATTCAGTCGAGTTTAATTTACGACGAGCTTGAGTCTCTTCCGAGTACTGAAGTAGTTGCGATTGACGTTCCCTAGACGCCAAAGTCTCAATACCATCCACAACAAATGATTGAGATGAAAAAATGTGAAGCTTAAATTTTCCCAATTGACCAGCATATCGTGTTGTAAGAAGTACAAGGAAGTTTCCGCTAACATTAGATACCGCAAGGTGTGCTACTGGTCCGGATTTGTAGTCAGAAGAGTACAACGCACGATATAAAGGTGAACTGGCTTCCACAATAGAGATAGAACCTTCAATATGATCAGATTGGTGTCGTTGCATAAACTCCTTTAATTCTATCTGATTCTGTATCTCCTCTGAGGTTAATTCTGATTCTGTAATAACTGAGCCAACCTTATCGTTTTGAATCGTTTCTTCATCACTTGAGGAGGGAATGACTTCCAAGAAAAGAGTTAAATCCGGTGAAGTCTTATCACCATCGAAGAGAAGTGCGACGGAAGGATTACACTTCCAAGACATACTGTATTCTCGACTTCCTCCACAATTATTTTCATCCCATACGCCATTAACAGCTCGGTAATTCCAACCATGAGGAAATACGGATGGGGTCACTGCAAGAGGAACGGAGGAAAAAACAGTTACTGTAAAAGAACCTAATTCACCACTTTTTTTAGTACTTGGAACGAGAAACAAATCAAGTGCAGCACATGGGACAATAAAAGACGCACTGACGGTTGTACAATGTTCATGAGGACAAGTACATTTAATAAATTCATCTTTGCAGTAAATAGGTGGAGTACCTTTTCCTGTAGGATCCGTCGTTACCACATCAAATCCAATGTATTTATCATCATTTTTATCAGGGTCAACACTTTTGGTGAGTTTTACAAGAATAGTAGCAGGCGATACCATTCGGTATGCTTGATTAGATCCTGCGTACTGTAAGCGAAACATGGGATTTCGGTACCATGTGTAATATTGCTCTGGTGGACCACCAGAGGAAACATCCGTCCACTCGCCATCACTAATATTTACAATCCAGTCAAGTGCGGGATCTACGGGATCTAAAGTTACCCATCCCTCCGTTTCCATTGATTTATCCTCACACAGTTCAGCTGTTAATGTGAACGACAGAGTACGTTCAGGGTAAAACGTATACGGCATAATAGCATAGGCAACCTGCTCTTCCACCCAAAAAGTAGCATGACAATGATTACTGTCAACCGTACTCTCTGCAATGATAGTGTCTGTATCAACTTCAATAACTTTACGTGTTCCATCTGATCGAAAGATAAAAAAACCGGCTTGACGAGAGACTTTGGCATCAGAGACATCCATAATAACACGAACCTGAGATTTTCGTGAAGTGCGCATAATATATTGGGGATTTTTCCACCAAGTAGAGAAATGCATGTGTCCACCAGAGGTATCTACTTCTAGAGATCCTTGTAATTCTGCGTGAAAATACTTTCTTTTCACAGGGCTAGGTAATTCATTCTCCTGATTCGCCTTTTGAGATTCATTTTTCTCCAACTGTTCATTTATCAAAGTAATTGAAGAAGGTGTAAAATCATTTCCAGTAACATGAAAACTAGTGATATTCTGATTTGTCTCAAGTAATTTCAGAATATGACCGACACTACCTTCATGAAGGGAATTGTTAGAGATGTCCACTTCTTCTATTGATGGATGCATGACGAGGCAATAAACAAGGTGATCTAGTTGTTCATGTTCTAACATATTATTACTAACATCTATCTTTTTTACAGTTTTTATATTCTTAACGAGATCCAGAACAGGAATGATGCCTTTCTTTCCTACATAGTTTTTAGAGAGATCTATGGACTCTAGCACCCGTTGTTGCCCTTGTCGCTCGTATTCTTCTTGCAGAAAACGAGAGAAGGAGGTGTTAGGTTTACATCCTCTCCTGCGGCAGTAGAAACCATAGAGATCATCCAATGTTGACATGATAATTAATCTCTTGTTCTTCTTTTTCTTCTTGTTGTTGTTATCGCTGTGACTCCCTCCAGATTTTTCTTTTTTCCTTCTTATGGCTCTTTTTTTCCTCCTCTTTCTCCTCCAGTTGCTTTAGGGGCGAAAAAAAGAAAGAAAGATAATAAAAAAAAAGAACTGCAAACAACGAGACGAATACATTAAAAGAAAAAGACAAAGACAGTAAGAGAAACAAAAACAAAAACAAAATAAAAAAAAAAAACATTTATTAAAGAAGAAATAAAACATACTTCCCTTCACTACAAAATAGGAGTAGAAATACAAAGCAATACTACTCTCGAATAGAGTAATCCCTTGTTCCATCCTGTCACCCTTTTCTTTTCTTTTCTTTCTTTCTTTTTACTTCGTAATCATCACAATCCCGAGAGTTTTCTATTCAATTCCTCTCATTTCTGTGAGCTCATCGCCTCCTTTTCTAACAAACGTTGTTGTCTGGCCTCCCGCTTTGCCTCCGCACGCGCATTCCATATTTCGCTCATATCCCCCCAGTTGTAAATGGGGGCATTGTCGCCGTACACCATCATCCGCCGGTAGTGGTGAAAGCCGCCAAACGAGAGATACATCACCCCAAGCAGCGGGTAGTACCACGACACCCGGCGGAAGGTCAACATCGTGAGTCCAACGCCGAGACTAAGTGTGTAGCCGCACAAGTGACCCGCTAACGGAAACGCAGATGTGCTAATAACACTCGCCACTGAAAAATATCCACCCGCAATGCAGCAGAATGGAATAGTTAACATAGCGGGAGCACGAATACCATTATATGTCATCGTCAAGTACTTTGGCGACATGAGCTCCTCTGGGAAACGCTGCGTGAGATACATGATGACCATATTCACAATTCCCATGTAGAAAGAAGGTTGATTAAACACCGTTGAAACAATTGAAGAAGTGTCAATGGTGGACTGGAACACACGCACATCCTGCTTGACAGGAGCATTACCGCTATGTTTAGACATAGCTTTCAGTTCCTATTCGTTAGAGATACAAAGAAATAAAACAAATAAAATAAAATAAAAAAGGGAAGAGATATCCAAAGAAAGATATGAACACTGTCAACAACGCGTACAATACACTTGCCAAAGAACACGCAACAAAAAAAAAAGAAAAAAAACCATTCATATAAAGAGCAAAATGATATGGTCAAATTAAATAAGAATCATATAATCACAAGAATAACAACAACAACAACAACAACAAGAACAGAAACAAAAAAAAAAGACGAAAAACAGAACAAAAATACAGAATCAATCGTCCTATCCTTTACACTACTTTTCTCTATTCCTTTCATTACTGGGAATGCAAGAATACGAACACACCTCTTCTTTATTCACCTGTCCAAAGAGAAAAACAGTCACTCAGAATGCAGAGAAACTGCAAACAAGTCAAAATATCGAAGAGCACGCACAGAGAAAGTAGAAGAGAAAAAAAAAAAGTTCCCTACAATTAAACTTTCCTTCTCCTTTGGTTTCAAAATCATCAACTAGTAGTAAACTTGTACTAATGAAATGAGAGAATATAATTCTCTCTTTTCCTTTTTTTCTTTTTCTTCTTTTCTATTCTTCTTTTTTGTTTTCTTGTGATTATTACAGGGAAGCTAGAACACATCACCATCATCATCATCATCATCATCATGATCCTTCTCCTATTCATTAGCACCGATGCGGTGTAGAAGCAAAACGCATGCCACCCTAAGAATTTCATTGACATATGTTTGTAAAAGGAACATCGTTTGACCTTTTCTTTTCTTTTCAACAGTTTGACACCTCCCACACTCGCGTAAAGAAGTTGTTTTTTCATAAAACGGTAATGAAAGCATGTAGAGTATACGTTTAAAAGACACGAAATTCAAAATCGGGTCGTTTTGGTGGTGCTAGGCGTGCGCCGTACTTTCTATTAGCGGCCCTTTCCCACTCAATAGCACTATTGACGGTGCCAATCTCGCTGTTGGTGGCCCGCAGACGCATGGGCTCCCTGCGCTGATTGGAGTGGTCCCGCAGCCGCAGCCTCGACATGTACAGTCGCTGGTACTGCGGCTCGATGGGCCGCCAGTAGTACCGCATGTCCTTCACGTCCACCTGCCGGCCAACGCGGCGGCGGCGCATTTTCCCGCCGAGGGCGACCCACACGCGCGAGAAGGGCGGGCCCATTTCTTTGAAGCGCATCTGCCAGACTTGCATGCGGTGCTGGGCAATGTACTCCATGGGCTTCAGCTGCACTCGCCTCGCCTTGCGAGTGATCTCCTCACATCCCACTTTGGGGAAAAGAAGCGCACTGGGGCGGAACATGTGTGCCCTGCCATAAAGAGAATATAGAAAACAAAATATGGGGGAGAGAGAGAGAGAAGAAAAAAAAAGAAAAAATCAATGAAAAATACACATAAATATCTTTCTCTCTATATCTATACATGAGGCAATACAAGGCCTAACTCTGTTCCACTCTTGTGGGCTTAAAAGTAGAGAGAGCAACTCTGGTTTATAGTAGAAATAATAATAGTAACAGTAATAATAGTAATAGTGGTGGTGGGAATAAATAAAGAACAAAACACAATAAAAAAAAAGAAACACACATCTACAAATATGTACGACAGAAGCGATGTTCCCTTTCAGGGTGTGTATTATTATTCTCCTCAACATCAATTGTTAACACGTAGGGAATCAAATCTTTGATGCTCTATTTTCACGTTCCCTCTGTGACACCGGCCCCTAACTCACACAATTCACATCTTTTGCAACAATGAACGTCAACATGAAAAGAAAGAGTCTGGCACGCAGTAGTGATAGAAAAGACTTCTCAACATTCCCCAAAAGAAAAAAAAAAAAAACATGACCAGGAACATAAAGCTTAAGGTCAAAATAGAAAAAAAAAAAAAACATTCGATACGGTAATAATGCTATAGTCAACTTGAATAAGAAATAAATCAATAAGATACAATACTATAAGATCTAATGAACCCATTAATCTCTCTAGTTTTGAGCATAATGAGGTCAAGACAAACCAATCAAAGATCCATATTGCAGTACGCTTTTTTTTTGTGTGTAAGCGAAACTCAAAATTAAAAAAAAAAAAAAAAAATCATCTTCCTTCGTTTACCAAAACCACTTCTAACATCCATGTCGTACTCTATCGAATGAAAACACAAAATACATTGTACTCAGTATTACCGATATCCACAAGATTCATAGTAATTTAGAGAACCACTCTCAACCCATAGACAAATATGACCCACGATTCACCTATTTTACTTCAAATAACCAAGGCAACGAAGATACAGTACTTTATAAAGTAAAAAAAAAAAAAAAACATGGGTGATACGAAAGTGTTTTATTGTTGTCTATTCCCGAGTAAATATTGGTTGTTGATAAACCTTTTTCATCACCTATCCACACCAGTGTATTGATAGTTTACAGATGATGGCATAAACTCTGACGGTGGCATCACCATTGAGGAACTACTAAACTGAAGTTGTAATTTCTTACTAATAAACCAGGTATAGGCAATCCACGAGTTAAAAAAACTAACAGCAAAGCATAAGGTGACAAGGAAGAATGAAATACCAGAAATAACACTTCTCCAACCGTAATACCAGAGCAAATAGACTTCAATCCACTCCATTGGAAGATCGTGCAGAAAAAAACATATAATAATACCAATACTTACAGCATTTCGTCGCGTTTTGGGTGCCATTTCATCTGCAAAAATATAGGACCAATATATTAACGGTGAGGCGACAAATAAAAATGCAACGAATCCTATTATAGAAAAAGCCAGATACGCAGAAATAACAGCATCTCCAACGTCAGTTTTAACGAAGTAGACTTTGAAGATCCAATTTAGAATGTTAACACAGTACGTGATGGCGAAGAAGAATAACAACACCAACTGTAGCCGCGGTGCAGCGCGGGAAACTACACGTCTCATCCTTTTCGCTACGCATAACATAATCCAGAAATTAAAAAAAAAAAAAAAAACAGAAAAAAAAAGAAATAAGAACAGTAAAAAAAAAAGTATATAAATTAAACCATCTACTATTGGCTCTTCTCCAATTATTCCATTTTTCTCATTCACTCTCTGCATCTCACAACACCGCTCCATTTGGAGAAACAGAAGCACAAAGAGTTTTTTGAGTGTCAAAAAAAATAAATAAAATAGTCCACATAAAACAAAAAAAAAGAAAAAAAAATGCGAGATGATAGATCTATTGGTAGGAGTACAACATGAATTTTGCTGTTGCTGTAAATATACCGAAAATTAATCTTCCAGCACAACTACAAAGTTCAAAACGATGGGCGACGGCACATGGTTAAACCCATCAGCGAACTGACATAACAAGAAAGAAACATAAAGAACAAAAAAAAAGGTGTTTTGGCCTCTTTGCGTTCGAACATTGTTAGAAAAAACAAAACAAAAAAAAAAAAAAAAGACAATAGAAAAAGAGAGGGAGAGAAAGAAAGAAAGAAAAAAAGAAAAAAAAGAAAGTTTTATACCAAAAATATTCCACTATGATGGTACACTGGAAACAGACTCCAGAGCCACTACTGTAGTGGGTTGTTCATGTGCCTTGATATATGCATGGTAGGATCTATTGTACCTCTGCCGCACGGCTGCTGCGAGGGCCACTGAAATTGTCATGCCGAAGGAGTACGCAATGCACATTGACTCCTGCGTGTAATAACGGGATACGACTTGATAAAAGATGAGCGCGCCGAGATTCTCACAGACGGAGATGGCAATTCCGCTCACACCCTCATCCACCGGAAATGATATTTCTGCAATAAGTTCATAAAATAATGGGGCCGCAGCTCCATTCCAAAATCCGCACAACGCCGTAACTGCTGCAATCCAAACTCTTCCAAGTGTCCACAAGGAGTAACCTTCATTATTTGGTGCGGAGGCAACAAAGATGAGATTACTAACAGAGTTGCACGTTATACAGAAAAATATCACATATTTCATTTGACGACTGAAGTAAAGATCGGTAAGATATGATGAAACTAAACCTCCACAAACATAGGCCAGCATTCCTGAAAAGCTCATTACTCCAATAAAACTCTCAGAGAAAAATTTATGGTATGTGGCATCAAAAAGAGAAATCCATGCGGAAAATCCACCACTTGACCATGAATATATTAACAGAAGGTAAACTGCTGATGGTATACTAAGAAGTTCACGGAGTTGTTTTCGCAGACTCTTTCTTTCTTCAGAAGGAGATTCAGATGTCAGGGCCTCAGGACTAACCACCGTAACAGAGCTAGCCTCTTCCGACGGGAACACCATCCACACAAGAGCCACAGCGATTAAAGCCATAATAACTTCATAAACTGTAACAGAAACAAATGTAGCACTCTCTGTCAAAGCGGGAACAAATATATAGCAAAGTGAATTTCCAACACTATTTGACATCACGGCCGCAGCTGTAGCTCTAGTTCTTTCATCATAATTAAACCATATAGCCGACAGTGCAGAAACACACCCTGTTGCTACCGGTGATCCCACTCCACTGAAAATTTGGCCTATGTGAAGAAAAACGACACCCGCCCATGTACTGCGCGCACTCGCACCAATCAATTTGAAAATGGCACCAATTATTTCACAAGAAGCTCCAAGACGAACAGCCTTTCGAAGGCCATTTGGTTTTGTTACCATCTTCATTACTGGAAGAAACATAACAAGAAACACCAACGGTTGCCAAGAAGAGAGTATTTGCAACTGGTTCACTGACATTCCCTTGACATTCTCTTCAAGCCAACCGGCAACAGGATCAAACATAAGCCACGCGAATCCATTATTGAGAGTAAAGAGAATAAAAATCAAAAGAACCTTGTACTTTTCGGGAAGCATAACAACTTCACTCTCAAACTCAAATACTTGGCCAAAAAAAAAAAAATATATATATATATATCCTCAAATTAATTCTAAAAGAAAAAGAGAGAGAGAGAGAGAGAGAAAGAAAAATAAATAGTAAGACACAAAACAGAAAAAAAAAAAAAAAAACGCGCAGGAAATAATAAAAAGGTACGTGAAACCCTTAAAAAACCAACAACCGGGGGAAATAAAAAAGCATAACAATAAATAAGACCTAATTCCTTAACTCAAAGAGTAAGGGTTTTCCTCCCACCATAGGACGAACTTTTGATGTTCTTCAAAGCAGATAACAGGCCGGATATTGTGCGTTTCGCCAAAACACAGATTAAAATAAAAGCGAGAAGGGCAACAATAGCTTTAGTAGGATGTTGTCTCCACCCACCACGAAGCAAATATTGAAGGAAACGATGTGAAAACTCTACACGTGATGGATCATTATTACGTGATACAGTGCTAGTATTTGTAGAAATTGAAGTCTTTACATCTTCTTTTTTTTTAATTTCCCCTTTTCCAATACGCTTATCTTTTTTTTCTCGTATTCGCTCTTTTTTTCCATTCATCCTCTTAGTGTAGGAACTCTCAAACTGAATCAAAGATTCAAAGACATCATCTTTCATAAATTCACCAAGTTCACTTTTTCTTTCCTGCACTTCCGTCACTGCCTGTCCTGTCTCAGCGCCACATTTTATTAATAAAGTTAACATTGATACCATAAGAGAATTTTTGCCCTTTTCCTTCATACGTTGGATTGCATTCTTTTCATTTACAAAAACTGAAATCTGAACTAGTCTCATATGTGTTGATGAGGAAGAATCTTCAGAAGAATCTAATATACTTCTGGCTTCAAGCATATTGTTAATTCCCAACTTTAACCAAATGACAGCTTGGTTTACATCGAAAATCCTAACAGTCTGTGTAAATTTATATAACACAACAGCTGACATCGGCACCTTGGTACCATCAACGGTGAAGGCTGCATGTACTATGTCAAAAAAACAACGTAAACGATCTGCAGGGCAGTTCTGTTGGTTGTAAAGAGTTGAAACAGTGCGGAGTCCTTTGAATCTCTGCATTTTCACTCCAGTACTGAAGAGCTGCAGACAAAGCTCCACCTCCTGGCAAATGGACTCAATAGTTGTCGAGACGGCTACCCATGGATCCACACCAGAGTATGAGTGTTTTTTCGTCTCAGCCATGACAACTGGTAACTTTGCCAAATCATCCTCTAGACGTTCGTGTGCGGTGTACACAGCCGTCTCACGATCTCCTGTTATTGCGAGGGAGCGAGCGTGGGCAACATCCTGGGCTACAGGTACGATAAGTTCGTGACTCATAATATACGGTTACTTTGATCATTATTGTAATACAGAGGTATACAGTGTAGAGAAAGAGAAAGAGAAAAAGAAAAAGAAAAAGAAAGAGATGGAAAATAATTATTTAAAAAATCAATAAGATAACAAAACAACAACAACAACAGGAAAAAAATAATAATAGAGAAAAAAAACACATAACCAGTACTAATAACAAGAAAGATGGAGTAACTACATAAATAAATAAATAAATAAACACTTTACAAAAGACGAAAAAAAAAACAAAAAAAAAATGCAGTCTAGTCAATAAAAATTACATATAAGTTGAGTATCATTCTGTCATTTTGGGGGGTTTTCCCTGAGTTCCGAAGAACCGGTATCGCTGCACAGGAACCACTATGTCTGATTTCTGAGGTGTGGGACGAAATACCACTACTGCACCATCCCACGTAGAGGCAAATATATCACCATTAGTACACGCATCAAGAGATGTAACACGAGCCTCAGTAAGTTTATGGATATTCTTAGGATCAATAATCACCTCCGTTTTATCTTCAGTGACTTCTGTTGAAAAAAAGGCCATAGCTCCATCATCACCCGCGCTTACAAAACGTTGACTTGATAAGGAATCTGAAGAAATACAATTTCGTATACTTCGAACAGTACCCTTATGGGCATAAAATGTTCGTAATCGTTTTGGCATACGCAAGTCCCACTCCGCTATATAGGCCCCATGTCCATTAAACCCGTTATGTCCTGTTAACAACATGTACTCCATATTATTCTCTGGCAGTTCACAGCATGTGGGATGGTAATCCATAGAAGTTAGGGTAGAACCAAGACTAAGGCCCAGTGCTTTTTTCCCAGTAGAACTCATACGCACATCCCATAATCGTAGTGTTAAATCTTCACCTCCCTGTGCTACACAGTGAAGTTGTGGCACCCATTGGACAAAATGCACAATATTTTGTTTCATATCGCAGCATTCTAGTTCCTCAGCTCTTTCTATATCCCACAGGCGAACTGTATTATCACGACTCCCTGAAACAAGAAATGTACCATCCAAGTTCATAGTGACACTCGTTACACTTACGGTATGTCCTTCAAGTTCACACAAAGGATGCTCATTTTTTAAATTCCAAACCTTCACCATTTTATCACGACTCGATGAAGCAAATAGACCACTGCTAATAGGATTTGTCAAGGAATTTACATCACGTTGGTGAGCTTGGGAGAATTCACGGGTAATATCTCCTGATTCATAGTCTATAAGAACTAGACTCCCATCCTCACCACCCACAATCAAATGATGAGGCATATTTGCCTTCTCACATGATTTCAAGGATAATGCTGCTGTACTATCTTGGAATAAACCTGGAAAGGACATAAATTCTCTATGAATAAGAAACTGAGATACTTGCGAGGTATCTGAAATACAGTGATTATCATTAGGGTCACAACCACCACGTTCAGGCAAGTATTGTTCCGGTACTTTATTTATCTGCGTTCTAATAGGTGAATCTGATCCTGTAGATTTTCGTGTTGTCGTTGACAGATTGGTAATTTCAGAAAATTTCAAGGACTTTAAAGCTGATTTGGCTTTGTTTTTGGAGAATGTCTCTGAATGAGATTTATCAGAGGTATTTTTTCCACTGACACTACTTGTGGAAAAACAGGACTGGCCCATAAAAAAAGATATTTTCTTGCCCTTCTTTCCTTCCTTTTGTTTTTTTTCTTACTTGTTGTTATTGTTGTTGTAAAAGGAAGGTAAGATGAAGCAGGACCATCATCATAGCATTACTGCAGCATCCGTTAAGTAAGGAACGCGCAGACCAACTGGCACAGTGTAAACTTCATTATTATGTCCCTCAGAGACTATACTCACAAGATTTCGCCGGTTGCAACAAATAAATTCACCCCCATCTACAGCCAAGAGAGCCACCGTATAAGCCTGGGAAGGAATTGACCAAGTCCCACCCATGTTACTTGATGTACTAACACCTGAACTGTTACACCGCGCAAATAAACATGATCCCAAACCAGGTTGTCGATTAACAGCTATAGAAATATGTTCCATAGATCCAGATGTTATGTACGGTATGTATTCTACATTATCAGCTAAAGATCCAATAGCATTATAAGAACCAGCAGAATTCTTTAAAGAGGCTGCAATAAATAATAAAGCAGTACAGTCATACGGTAATATTGGGGTTCCAACCCCGGCAACGAAAAGTACACGATAACGGACTTCATCCATAATATAAGGAAGAGCAGACCTTACTGAAGAATCATAAGAGCTTTCTATGTCGTGTACATTGTTGTTGTCCTCGGCACAACGCAAAGTAGAAGAAATGGCCCTGTAAAGGTATTTTTCCCGTTTACTAGTACTTTTATTATTATTATTATTATTATTATTATTATTATTATTATTAATATTAATATTCGAGGTTTGTTCCACATTTACTGACATTAAGGAGTCAATAAAACTTTTTGGAACTTGTGGAATTTCGCAACGTCTACAAGTCATATCCAAAGGCCATACATCACGAAGGATACCAAGTTCATGTGGAAATGTAACAAAAGAATGTCCCCCATCACAGGAATAATGCAGTAACCCTTTAGTTGATACGAACAACTCTCGTATGGAGTTACAAATCTGAGGAAATGTTTTTATGAGTCCAATAGAAGTTGAAAACTCTTGAATTACATTAAGATTAACAAATCCCACAGAATTCAACTGATGAAAAGTGAGATTAACTGAAAACAGTTGTTTTTTACAGAAGAAAATAAGCTTATCCTCTGATAAAAAAGACAACCCACCAATTCGCCAATAGCTACTAGCTGAATGAGTTCTATCTCTTATAAATGGATGAATCATTTCTTTTTCCAAAGGAGTAAAGTTCATACCCCTATCAGCGGAAACTGCAAGAAATCCATCGCTTCCACACATAGCAACCATATTATTAAGTGTTGTGATGTGCGAAATTTGTGTCTCTAACTCATTTGCTGATAATTCAATACCCTCATTCTTTTCATCTTCAGATTCCTTTGGTAGCAATAGTTTTGCTATATCTTCCATAGTACCAGTACCCTCAGTGGGTGGAATTTCCTCATTAGGATTTTCATTACCTTTATTCCCTGTCTTGGCTCTATATGCAATCCGCCATGTGCAACCTTTATCTTGGCTACGGAGAACAGTAGCATTACCTCCACTTGCAAACAAAAAACGTACAGGTTTCCCTGGCATGACAAACTCTATAGTAGTAAGGATAGAAGGCAGTGAAAGTGCAGAGGCGTTTCTCTTTGTACTGTTTCGAATAGCAAAAAGAGTAACTAACACTCGACGTCGAGTTACTGAAGAAGTACGTCTAAAGACTCCTGAGAAGTTCGAAACATCTTCCATATTTCTCCTTTTACAAATCTAAGAAGGAGAAAATCTAAGAACAGAGAAAAGCAACAGTGGAAGAAGAATAAACAAATAAATATAAAACTATAATCTGAAACATTTTAAACATCAAGGGAAAAGGCGAATATCACTTCCTTTTTTCTTAACGATTATCAACATAAAAAGTATAATAATAAAAATCCACGTAGCAGAAAACCAATTTACGCAAGGACTACAAATACAAGAAACAATAAGGTTAATACCAGACATACAATCGTACAAATTTTATTTCTGTTTGACATACTTCCAAGCAATTTGTCCACTTTGGCGTTCACGGCACGTAAGCGTGCCTGGACACCCTCAACTTCTCTCTGAGCTTCTTCAAGTAAAACCTCTTGATGTTGTAGCTCATCATTTACATTTATTCCAGTTTCTCGTAACTCTTGAAGACCATAGGAAAGTCTATCTAAAACAATATCTTGCTGCATATATTCTTCTTTTTGGGCAAGTTCCTGCTCCAAAAGAAAACCATTACTACCACTATTGGTTGAAGAACTAATAACTTGATTCTTCTTCTCTACATCTCGTACTCGTGCCTCCAGATCATCACGAAATGTATGAATTTCTTTCAACTCCGTTTCAAGGTCACGAACAACCCTTTGGCGTCTAATAACTTCATTTACAGAAAAAACGTGGTCTCCGACTTTACCATTACGTTGCTCAATAACTTGCAAAACACTTTTAAGCAGTTCCAGTTCTTCATCGGCTGCATCGAGGATTCGCTTCACCTCTGCTAGAATATCACGTTCAACTAAACCTTTTTCCCTCACTGACTCTTCTATACTTTTCGCCTTGGCAACTAACTCACGTAAATCACTAACAGACTCATCAAATGGGTCTTTTGACGAAGACATATTAGCCCCTTCTAATGAATTCTAGCAATAATAATAATAATAATAATAATAATAATAATAATAATAATAATAATAATAATAATAAAAGAGCACTCCACCTAGGATGAAAATGTCACTTGTACGAAAGTTAGGAAAGAAAAAAAAAAACCAAGATACATCACTTTCGGATAAATAAAAACAGAATGAGGAAAAGTTAAAGATATAACATGGATAGAATAAAAAAAGAAAAAATAATAATAATAATAATAATAATAATAATAATAATAATAATAATAAATAAATGGATCTACACCATCAACTCACAAATAAAAACAAAAAAACAGGAAAAAAATATGCTAGTTGTTTACTCAACTAAAAGTGATCATACGATCATAAATATTTAAACACCCCACCCAACCCCCTAATATTGATTTCATCATTAAATACTTTGCCCTAATCACTTGGTAGTTGGCGCAAGATTCGATTATTCTTTTCGCAAGCAGACAAAAAAAAAAAAAGAAAATGACATATATGCATTTCCCCATAGCATTTCACATTATTTGGCAAACCCTGATGACGCTTTCTCCAATCGCTCCATTTCCTTTGATAAGTCCTTCAAAAATGTAGTTGTACAATCTGCAAATTCCTTTGCACAGGCTTTGTTGTTTTCCACAAGCTTTTTCAATAGTTCATCATGCTTCTCCTTAAATGACTTATTGGCAGTTTCATACACTGATTTAAAATGGTCGCGTTGTTTGACTTCTTCTTCATAGCCTTTAGAATCTTTCAAATTTTTACCTTTTTTCGCATATTCTGCCTCTTTTTTACTCACAGTATCTCGGTAGACATCGTACTCATTTACAGCCTTTGATCTTTCTTGCTCAAGATGACTGCATGCTTCACAATCCCCCTTGAGAGAACTGCCAGAAGTAATGACTTTCGCATCCATTTCTTTTGTAAACTGGAGAAGGGCACCTTTTTGAATCTTTTCAACCATTTCCTTGAATTCTTTTGAGTATTGCTTCAGCTCTGATGGAATATGATCATCAGCATTAAGTTTCTCAAATGCCTTTGACGCTTCTTCGAGAGCCTTTACGAACTCCTTTCCAGCATGTTTCACCTTTTCCATAGAACTTTGGTAGGAACTGGTTGCATCATGTAGTGTCTTCAGTCCAGCAGATCTCTTTTCGTAGTCTTCATCCACGGTTTTATCAGAGACCAGTCCCAAGGTAGCCTTAGTATCCAGGAAAAACTTCTTCATTTTCAACTTCTTTGCTGAACTATTATTCTTGTTGTAGACCTTTTACAGAATTTCTTAAAATGGAATAGAGAGGGTAATTCAACATTACATCATGAGTATGATGAATCAAAAGAGAGAGAGAGAGAGAGAGATACATGAAATCATATATAGATATATACATTACACAAGATCTACCAGAACTCATTCACTTCACAACTGTAACTCAAACGCATAGGTACGACTAATTTATTTTAGCCAACAGAAATACCCGATAGTATTGGCAAAAAAAAAAGAAAAAGAAAAAAAATATATGCGATAGTGAACCTCCTTGTCTTAAACTTTATTTGCTCTACCATAAAATCTGGTTCCTCTTTTCAGTGGATTAATTTACAACAACCACTACTACTACTACTATTATTATTACTATTCTTATTCACTTTTAAGGGGGTGCCTCCCGCGCGGTTCCGCATTTTACACCCCTTCATCCTTTTTCTCTTACAAAAAAAAAAAAAAAAAATTAATAGCAAAAATAGTACGTGACATTAATATAATTTTAAAAACTGCTGACTGGGCTTTGCTGTTACAATTTTTCGCAGCAGCGTAAGTATTACAACCTTGTGTCAATATAGAGAGATTGTCTTTTTTTTTCGTCCTGGAAAATGTGGTTCTAACCTGTTTCTGAAGTAGGAACTGCCTCTCCTTCTTCTTTGGATGCATCAATATTGGTTGATAAAGGTTGCTCCACGTTAGAACCATCATCTACCATAGAAGCGGTGTTAACACCGTTAACAGATTCTTGACTTTCAACACCATTTGGGGCATCAACTTGAGAAGACACTTCATGGGAAGTCACAACAGCATTTTCCATCTCACTATCCATCGTTTTTACAGGAGTATTGTCAACAACATCACACATACGAGAACTCTCATGATGTAATTTTTCCGAAAAGTCTGATAACCAATGAAGAAAAAGTTTTGCAGCAACTGTTGTCAACTCAGATTTCTTTGACATTAACAGATCATAGGCATTATTGTACTCGGTATTTTTTAACAAGTATTCCTCATTTGCACTATCACGTTTGCTTAATTCTTCTTTGTACCGTTTTGAGTCATCAAGAGGTTTACCTTTTGAAGCATATTGTACCTCTTTTTTTTCAACTACATCTCGGTGATAGTCATACAAATCAACAGCTTTAGCACGTTCGGTATGAATTTTATCGCATGTCTCACAATCACCCTTAAGAGAAGATAATGATGGAACAACCATTATCTTGAATGTATCTATTGATTCGTTTAATATGGATGTGCGAACAATCTCCAAGCATTTGGTTATCTCCTTCATACCATCGAATATAGGAGTCTGTTTTTCGTTTGCAACAACATCCTTAAATGCCTTTTCCACACCTTCTAAAGAGTTGGACACCATTGTCAGTGAGGTAACAAACTTAGACATCGCAACTTCATACTGGGCAACTGCCTGATTAAATGACCTGACACAGGTATGTCGCATTTCATGATCTTGGTCAACTGTGCGGGTTGCCATACCCAATAATGCTTTGGTATTCAGTTTTAGGCGATCCATTCTGCAGAAACAAGCTACTTAAAGAACTTTGTTTTATAATACCTCTTTCCAAACGAAAAGAAAGGGAAATATATATTTTTTTTTTGGAGAGAAAGATCAACATTAGAAAGAATGAAGCACACTTGGTGCGATAAAACAGGTTCCAAAAAGAAAAAAAAAAGAGATGTGAGTAGAATTTTTTGCAGAAATTCCAGAAAGTTTAGTTAAGGCGAGGGAAAAACAAAAGACTTACCACCAAGAACTGTTTTAAGAACTCTAGACCACATCTCTTTTTCTCTGGCCTGAACCACATGAGCGAATTGTTCAACAAAATACGCGAGCTCATCATCAATATTAAAACATCCAATAAACTGACACAAAGTATCAGAAAACTCTGGTCTTGTGGTGTGAACTGGTGTATGGCCAAAACGCATAAAGCGCGAACTCCATGACCTTACATGACCATCGAAAAAGAATGCATGTTCCTGTCTAAAGGGATCTAACGGGTTGGTACAGCTTCTCAAATTAATCGCAATTTCGGATAATCCTCTTTGGTTTAACAAAGGTCCTTGATATAGCATTTCACGAATAGAACGTCCATCGCGTGGTACCAGTGATTCAGTGAGACAACCATTATGTATTACCATACCATCAACTATTAGTAAACCAAGAAAAGAAGAACATGATGCCTCAATTGTAATTCCTGAAAAAGGAACACTTATAAATGCAGAAAACTCAATGGGAGAAGTTTCTAAAGTCTTATTCTGGCAACGTACCCTATGTGGTAACTCTTTCTTATTAATATAACTTCCAGAACCCCCTTTCAAGGGGCGTAGGGTACGATTACTAACACTACAATGAATCAAAACACGCGCATTGCAAATGTTCCCTGCATACATGGTAAATTCTCGGGAGCCCAATTCATGATGAACATCAAACAAATGAGGGGGTCGGAGAACTTTTTTAACAGAGCATGTTCCTAACTCGATGAGTGAATCTGTATTGTTTTGTAACTTTTTCCGTAAAAGAGTAGACCCCTTCATCTTGGTAATGTAGACAAGAGGACATAAAGAACAATAACAATACCAAAAATCACATAGAAGCCAGAATAAATTTAAGAATCAATATGAATCAAGCATCTATCATGGCAAAAACGCACACACACACACACACAAAAAAAAAAAAAACAGGCATACCTCAACAAATAATCAGTTTTTGTACTCATTGGAAAAGAAAAACTTCAAATAATGGAAGTAACACTAACTATAAATAATACGTTTTAAACTCCCAGCTTTTGGTATGACCACTCTTTGTTATCCAGTGGGCATACATTCCTGGTTTTCAACCAACGGGATATGCAATGTGTATGAAAAGCATGATTACAAGCCCCCCAGGCGACGTTGCAATCTGTCGGTGATCCAGTTTGATTTGCTTGACACTCTATGCAAAGATCCATGACGTGATTACGACATATAGCACACGTTTCTACTTGAATATCCCAGGACCAGAGAGCCACAGCATTCCAGCGTTTTAGTTCGAAACGTTTCTGCTCATCCTTCGTCTCAGAAGGAGGAGGAACACCAGAAACAGCACTCTGCATCAATAACAACGGAAAATAGCAAAACGCAACTACTACGAAAAAAAAAAAAGATAGAGGAATAGAAGGAGGAGGGAAATGCTAAGTTCAGATACAGTCTTAATATGAGAGAGATATCATCCCTTTACCACTACAGAAGATTAATAATAGAAATAATAATAATAATAATAATAATAATAATAATAATAATAATAATAATTCTTAATCGGAAGAACAAGAAGTTGAAAGCTTAAAAGTTCCATTAATAAATACCTTGTCCATTTTCTTGCCATTTTTTCGGTTTACTATACGGTTACAATGATACTGCAAACCCTGACCGTCAACTTCTTCAAAACCTGCTAGTCTAAACAATTCTCTTGTAAAGTTAATTTCAAAGAACATTTGCAGAGTACCATCACCTTTACAAAAGCTTAGGCTATTTGTTGTCGGATTGCTTTGTTTAACAAAACGGAATAAATTGTGATCTGGGACAGCGTAGTCACGAAAAAAAAGTAAACCATCATTCTTGAGAACACTTCCAAGTTCTTTCAAGGCATACAACATTGATTTAAACGACGGGAGTGAAGAAAGAACAAAAACAAGAATAACACCATTTACACCAACATTACAACCTGGGACTTTCTCTACCAAGGTACCCTTTAGGTCTCTGTATTCTTTCCTAGCACGCACTTTTTCTGGTTCATCTGAAGACAATGTACCAACACCAGAAATATCGTAAGGGAAAGCTGTAAGGGAACCCTGACCAGTAAATTCCCTAGCTATTGGATGTTCTAAAAGTGTAGAAACAGCGCTATGAGACACATCGAATCCAACAAAATGTATATTATCTTTAAATTGCCTCATCAAGGGCAAAAGTGTACTACCTGTACCACAACCACATTCAACAATATATTTACATTCATTTTGACTTTGAGAAGAACAAATACTTTTTAGCAATGGAAATGCAAGAACAATATAATTCTTTAGAGGAAAATGTCGCTTATTCACCTTGTAATGTGAATCCCAAGAGTTCCCTTCTGTTTCACAAACGGTTATAGGAAATTCCAAATTCTCCAGATCCAATTGTCGTACTTCCTCTTGACACCTACAAAGATATTCATCCACCAACTTACGTTCATCACTAGACAGCTCTTCCATTTTCTCTTCCCATGAGAAGTCATTGCCATGTAGATTTATGGTACCGGGGTCGCTAAAAGTGCCACCACCACGGGTCTTCGGTATAGTCTTGACCTCCTCTAATGGTGAGCACATGGAAAACAATACTAAACCCAACAATGATAAGTCAGCAAGTCAAAGCAAAAGAAGAAAAAAAAAAGAACAATGTGTTAAATCATGTGACGAAATCTTAGGCGCTGAAAGCAAAAAAGACAAACAACAACACACAAAAAAAAAAAAAAATTCGACAACTCCCAAGAGGCATACGGAGTATAATAGAAAAAAAAATAAAGTGAATGGCCCCTCAACAAAAAAATAAAAAATAATAACAAAAAAATAAAAACAAGAGAGACAAAAAAAAGGGAGGTAAAAGAACCGGAAATATATTCATATCTCTGTAGCCATGGTGTCTAGAAAGGATGGTTCAGAAGAAAAAGGTGATTCTCTAAAGGTCAACTCCACTGCGAAATCAAAGGAAAAAAAAGGCAAAGAAAACGGCAACAAAACCACAATGTGACATAAAGGATGGAAAATATAGGTAACAAAATATCTATACATACCAATAATCCCAAATAGTAGTGAATCCCTAGAAAATCTATAACCCCTGAAGCTCATTTACAAGGTACGTGGCCATTTCCCATATTCTACTCAAATTAATTTACTCTATGTTAAGTATTACTCCAGATCCAGAACAAAGAAATAAAACAAAGATTCACAAATAACATACAATAAAAAAAGTAACACATTCACCACCTTCATTTTTATCCTTTATCTACCACCAAAAGGCATGCAGAAGAAAAAACCAAAACAAGACGTCTTTAATTCCCATCGCAGACCATGACATACCACTTCGCCCTACCCCAAAAGAACATCAACAACAACCCAAAATACATGGCACAACAGTTTATTTACCTTCGCTCCCTTCCTCTTTGAAATCAAAAAAAAAGTCCTGCTCAACCAGGAAGGAAGAAGATCGGGGTCCAACCCATCCCATCCCCCTAAAAAAAAAAGGAACACTCTAAGCATTATATTTCCCTCCATAAAAAAAAATATATATATATAGATATATATAGTTCTCTATTTATCACTATTTTTTAGAAGACAATAGCGATGACCTGTGATGGGTCTCAAAAATTCCACTATTCTCTACAAAAGTGCTTTATTGGTTCTCAAAAAGCAGATGTTGAAAACAGTTTAACTTTCGAAACCTACACTTGGACAGACAGGTATTCTCAGCTACAAAAAGGGAGAAACCAATTATATCATTTACTAATAAAATACAACAAGGTCAAACCATTCCTCTCACACGCTCTCAGAATAGTCTAGTCCTCTTTTTTTTTCCTCCAGAAAAAAAAAAGAATAAAAGTAAAAAGAAATTAATATTGATTGTGTTTTTATTTTTATTTTTATAACTATCAAGAAAAAAATATCCATAAACTGTTATAAGTCTCAAAAAATCTCCATTTTCTATAAATACATTTTTGTTAATTGCTGAAAAGAAGATGTTAAAAACGTTTAAACTCGCCTCCTCGCCTTCCCCTTCACAAAGTCCATCCCTTGTGCGAAACCCTATAAAAAAGTGACACTTCGCCTTCAGGAGGTTTTGAATACATGTTACCCTTTTTTCCACTATATTCATAATTGTGGTTTTAGGGAAGTATTAGTGTAATGAATCGTCCTATTTTCTCCGAAAAGTTTGTATTCCTAAATAAAAAGGGTGAGTTCCTGTTTAAAAAAAAAAAAAATGCGGTGCACTCGTTCCTACACATACCCATCCACACGCGGATGTATCCCTTACCAACGTGGTGGAACCTGGTAACTACCATTTTCGAAGGTTGGGTGGGCCCATTCTTCAAATAATTCCGCAGCCATTCCTGCCCCACTTTCATCTCATGTACTCATAAATTAGTCCAATCTTGAGGGCCTAGAAACCTTCTATTAAGACGTGATATTCGTATTTTTATAAGATTCAAAAATAAATACTATAGAAAGTAGGATTCCTCATGTACACCCGCTGCATATAGATCATGTGGGTGGCTCAAATTTCTATTTTTTCAATCAAAGATATCTGAAGAGATGGCGCTTTACTTACATGTCGCATTGCCTTTTTACTTAGACACATGTTCTCTGATTCCCGTGGTTGAGTTTTACACCGATGAACTCATATTGTTTTACGTTTCTCTCCTTTTCTCCTAGTGCGCTCCTTTACTGCAGCATATTGTACGTTATTTGTTTGGTCCAGTTACCAGTGATTAATTGAAATAGACTAAATGTTATGACGTCGTCGATCCATAGATTGATTCTCAAATCAGGTAATGTCACAAACTGCGGTTGTATTATTTCCGGGTCATCTGCAAGAACCCTGGTATTTGTATGAAGGATTTCCGGACTACATTTATACCTCATGAAAAGCTGTGTGAACTCCACAAATTCCCCCGATTTTATTCTGCAAGGGAAACTGTCCCGACTTTCTTCAGGGCGATTGGCCAGGAAAAAAGGATAACTTCAAGTTGAATAAAGTCAAAATTTTTCCATGCGCCACTCCAAGGCCGCTTTGGAAAAGTGACCCTGTGGATTCTCACTCCTTTAACCCTTTTTTTTCCATTTTTTCCACCAACACCCACACAACAAAACCACCCTTTTGCCCTGAAGGTTTTTCCGTTTCCACCATTTTAAACGGTATTTGCCCATCCTCGTTCTTGGAAGCGGCGGCGCTGCGTGCAAGGCGTCTTTTTCTTTTTCGCCAATTCTCGTCTGGGATTATTTTTTTTTTCCTGGCGGAAACGCGGCCCGGCCCCCGCAAGGCCGCGCAAAATGGCAGCAAACCACCTCCGCACCTTTTTTTTTTTTTTTTTTGCGACGATCCGCACCCCGTTTTGCAGAAAAGGTTCCCGTTTCCGTCTGAGGAATGGCGGGTCCGGCAATTTTCTTTTTCCCTTGCGGCCGCTCGTGCCTCCCTTGGGTTCTCGGGGGTGGGCCCTGGTTTTCTTCATGGGGGTCGCTTTTGGTGTTTTTTGGGGCGCGACGGGTGCCCAATTCACGGTGGTGACCCCTCGGCCGCCGTGGGAGGGAAACGGAACCCCCACTTCAGCCATGCGATTTCGTTCCTTCTCTTTGCGGTTTTCCTCGCCCATCTTAATCCCGCTTGATCATCTTCGAATTGGGATCTTCTGCTCATAAAATTCCAATTCCCTTTTCATCATCGGATTCCCCTGTTTTGGTGAATCTGCCTCCGCCATTTTTTTTTTGTAGAGAACGAAAAAAAAAAAAAGAAATTGTGTGGCGAAACAGGAAGTCAAACATACGAATTGATGGATATGTATTCTCGCACAGAAAAATATAAAACACTTTTGAAACTGATAATGCAAGTTAAATGTCAGAATAGGAGTGAAGAAAAAAACCGTTAAATCTCTAGTCTTGTTCTCGTTTTGCCCTCGTTGCACATGGATTTGGAAATGAACATGATATTCAGATTTAGGGACACATCATAGTACTAGGAGGTCCTTGGCGAAAATGATAAATTTAAGAATACAAGAAAATATTTTCTTTAAAGGTTTTTCTTTCGATTTAAATTCCATATTCATGACATCTTAAAGAAAAATACTACTGCTGTAATTGTATTGTGTTGACTATTTTGGTCAGGGATTCAATGATCATAATTCACTATTGTAAAAACAAGTATAGCTTTAACAAGGATCCCAAGAGAAGAGATTGATATATAAAGAGACTTCCTTTCTTGTATAAAGTTTGCTAAATAAGGGCTACTAGGATCTATCAGTCCTTAGTTAAGACCGGTAAAAGGTTTTGATTCATATTTTCCCTCTTCTCTTCATCATCTTCATCTTCTTCATACATACACATACACCTACAGAGATTTTTTTTTTGTGGTTTTTCTTCGACAACTTTATTACTTGGTCACTTATCTTCAAAAGTGGTAGGAAAAATCGGTAAGAAATGACAACGTATAGGGATTTTAGGCTTACAGACATTATGAACTTTAATTTTGTCAACCTTGATCAGTTGACTGAAACATACAATACAATGTTCTACGGTGAGTATACAACACATTGGCCAATTTACCAACGCATTTGTGTTCATCCAACAACAGGTATATGTATGGCGTATACACTCGGTAAAGCAGAGGGAAGGGGTGAAGATTTCCATGGTCATGTATCTGCTGTTACAGTGGCGCCAACGTTTCGCCGCTTGGGTTTAGGTGAGGCACTTATGAAGGAACTGGAAACTACTACCGCACTCGTTTACAACGCCTACTTTGTAGACCTTTTCGTCCGACAGAGCAACAAAGTGGCTCAAGAAATGTACCACAAGCTAGGCTACATTGTCTACCGACGTGTACTTGGATACTACAGAGGGGATGGTCCCAAAGGAACCTTTAAGGATGACGAGGATGCTCTCGACATGCGCAAGGCAATGCCACGAGACAAGGAACGAGCGCGCAGTAGCGTTATTCCGCTTTCACATCCCATAAGACCGGAAGAATTGGAGTGGAACTAGAACATGTCATTATGTGAACCAAAACAATGTCCACACAAGGTGGTTATTCTGTCTTCTGATTTAAGTGCACCTCCACGTAGTAACTGAATTTTTTTTTTTTTTGCCTTGAACTTCATTTAGTTGGGATTCATACTAATGAAAGAGAACCATGAATAAAGCAAAGTGATGGGTGCTGCTGAACCAAAATAGTATTAGTTGGGGCAAAATACTCATTTATATACATTCAAACTTGGTCTCTCTGATGCGTGTTTCATCTTTAAAATATTTCGGATGGAGAGGGTCGATTCGTTTCACTCCAGTAACTTTTCACTTAAATGTTTTTCTTAACACTGGCAAACAAGAGAATCTTTTTGGTTACATTTTCCTTTTAAAGTATCTGATGTTACAAATGGAATGCGTTGATACTTTGTCAGTGTTTTTGTTGTTGTTGGTGTTTCTGAGAGTATTACTATCGATGTATACATGTGTTTAATTCTCTGCTGGATCTAATATAATATCACTTCATGCTTACCTTTCATTCTCTCCCTTTCCTTTCTTTTTTCTCTTAACTGCGTATACCTTGGCAAAGCAACACACAAACTAACACACACTACTCACGCTATTAAGAAATGGAGAAACACTCCATGCGTCACCTCCTGTGGACTGCATTGTTCCTGTTGTACTGCAGCTGCGGGTGTTTGGCTGCTGTTGTACAGCAGTTACCACAAAAAGGAGAAAGTGCTCTACAGGCGTACACCGTCTCTACTAAAGATGAGAATTGGTATCCCATTCAAATTACTGTTTCTGCAGAGAATGTGGATCAAGTGATTCGTCGTTGCATGAAGAGGAAAGAGTTATCAGAAGATGATCGAGCCATCGAGATGAAAGAGACTGAAGAGGATAATAAAGTGCTGTGCGATGACGAGAATGGGATAACGTGGGCAAAGCGGAATCTCCTGCTGAGGGAAATCCTTCCCGCTGCAATTAAACTACACAGAGATCGTCTCATGGTTCAACGGGGGGATGGCAAATTTGTGACAAAGAAGGTGCTGATGGGATCCTTTAAAGATAAGTGCACTGATGTTGTTGTTGGTGAGAGATTCGAAAACAGGGGATTCAATGATGCTGATTTTGTGCTTTTTGTGGGTCTTGCTGCATCGAGACAAGACGTGAAAATATGTGCTGAGGATCCTATCTATTCCAATCGACCGATTTCTGCTTACATCACGTTTCAGCCGAAAGAGATTGAGAATGCAAGAAAAGTTGTTCGCTACGCTGCTCACAAAATTGCGCATGGACTTGGATTAACTTATGGACGTATGTTGTCGCGTCACAAGGCAACTAATGGTGGCATTTTTTATGGCAAATATGATGGAAACCGTGTGAAAGTCAATGGTAGAGCGGGAGTTGAGGCGAAGAAGCATTACAACTGCCCAGCATTCGATGTAATGTATCTAACTCAAAGAGGACCTTCCGTTTCCAACCACTGGGGATGGCACATTGCAAAGGACGAACTGATGAGTCCGTACACTGCTGACTCCTCCGGGATGTTCTACACTAATCTAACACTTGGAGCTTTTGATGATATGCCCTACTACCGAGCCAATTTCAGCATGGCAGAACCCATGAGTTGGGGGAAACAATTGGGCTGTAACTTTGTTGGAAAAGATAAAGCTGAACAACGAGATAAAATAACTAGGGAAAATCCCAACATGTTTTGCACTGGTGAAAAACAAGGGTTGCAGTGTACATCTGACCGTTTTGCTCTTGGAGTCTGTTCCAAGAAGGATACTCCTCCTAAAGCTATCTCAGAGGAATACCACTACTTTGAAAAAGCTGCCGGGATTGGAAGGGGTGATCTGTTTAATGACTTCTCCGTCATCAAGCCGTTTCGAGAGACCATGTGCGAGGATGGTAATGAGACACTGATGCCTGGCAGCATTGTGGACAAGATGTCACGGTGTCTGAATGTAAAGGATCCGCAGATCAAGGATGTAAATGGAAATGGAGTGACAGTTCAAGGCATTTGTGCAAAAGTGAAGTGTGAGAATGGCAAGGTACTTGTGCATTACAAGGGGAACAAGGAACACAATGGGAAAGAAAAATGGGAGGAGTGCACGGAGAAGGGCACTATTAATCTGCATGGTTCAGTGTTCAGCGGTGGAACTATTGTGTGCCCCAAATACGAAGAAGTATGCACGAAACTGCCGGAAACTGATCCCCCCACTGTTGAGTATGAGGAATACGTGGAACCCCAAAAGAACAAAGAGAAGAAGGAAGAGGAGGAAGCCAATGAACAGAGCAACTCGAGCGCAGGGTCGAAGCCAAACAATGACGCAGGTACAGATACTAGGGTTGAAACGTCCAGTAATAACCAAGTGGAAAGTGTACCAGCAGTCCTTGGTGTTAACGGCAGTTCTCAGGAGTCCAGTACTGCAACACAAAGTGTCATACAACATACAGAGAAAAATTCCACCAACACTGAAACTGCCGTGGAGAAAGGACGGCGTGCATCGAGAAGTCGTCGTCATATTGATGATGCTACTACTTCTCAATCCACATCTAATCCCAACGGCACTGAAGACGCAATACAGTCCCAAAACGCTGTTTTGAAGGGGACAACACTCACTGAGAGGCAAATAAAAGAAGAAACACTAAAACATACAAATGTAACGGTTATGTTCGGTGCTGACAGCAGCATCATGGTTTCCTACATGGCCCCTCTTGCACTTCTTGTGGGTGTTGTTGGTTTTGTGATGGTTCCATGAGAGCTTCATTTTTATTCAGAATAATAAACACTTTTGCTTAACACGGCCCTTTGAAATGAATTCCATAAACCGCAATACATTGGCCGTTCTTTTTTTTTCTTCTTTTCTTTTTTTTTTTCAGCATTCTTCATTTCATTGGAAAATTCTCTTTTAATTGTTTATGATTTTTTTTTATTGCTATGATTTTAAATTCATTTTCTGAAAATTTATAATTATCAAATATACATTCTGCAGAATCCCACTGTTCGTTATCATATACATGAGCGTATACACATAATATGGTGAGAGAGCGATGACAGTGTCGTGGTGAACAATAGACATAAACCTGAGTTTTTTATTATTGGGGATTTTTTAAATGGGTTTCTTTTTTATTGAATTAAAATGTTCTGGGTAAGAAGGTTTATGTGTTTATGTTTTTCTGTGGTTGTTTCTATACTGATGTATTTCTTGTATTGTTTATTGTATGTGTTGCCTCTTTTTCCTTCTTTTGTCTCTCGTTGTTCTTCCCCAAGTCTCTCAAGGATTCTATTTGATAGACACATTGAGAATGACATTATGTCACACATAACAGCTAAAGGATGTAAACAGTGGTAGAGATTGGATTTGATTGCAGTAGGTGCTGCTGCTCTTGTTATTGCTGTGTGCCCCTGATATTGCATTTATTGTGGTTGTGTTTTTGTTGTTGTTGTTTCTGAGAGTATTACTATCGATGTATACATGTGTTTGATTCTCTGCTAGATCCAATATAATATCACTTCATGCTTATCTTTCATTCTCTTCCTTTTCCTCCTTTCCTTTCTTTCTTCTCTTTACTGTTTGTACCTTAGCAAAGCAACACAAAAACAAAAAAAAAACACTCACACCACTACAAAATGGAGAAACACTCCATGCGTCACCTCCTGTGGACTGCATTGTTCCTGTTGTACTGCAGCTTCGGATGTTTGGCTGCTGTTGTACAGCAGTTACCACAAAAAGGAGAAAGTGCTCTACAGGCGTACACCGTCTCTGATACTCCTACAGAGAAATGGGAGCCCATCCGCATTGCTGTGTATACAAAATATGTTGAGGATGTTGTGAAGGAATGCATAAAACAGCGTTCGGAGGGTGATTCCAATACTACCGTCGAATTCTGTAGCGGTGACAATCAAATGACAGCAGCGAAGATGAATACTCTTTTTAAGGATCTCCTCCCTGAAGCGATTAAATTGCACAGGGATCGCCTTAATGTGAAACCACTGAAGAGCAATCTGAAGATACAGGAAGAGGAGGTTCGCTGGTTTACGAGCAATTGCTGGGGATTCATTATTCCCAGTGAGCATAGTACTGAAGGTATTCCCGATGCTGATTTTATGCTTTACGTGAATCTCGGGACAGAGCGTAAAAGTTCGGCGGTTTGCTCTATAGATGAGAATAAGCGACCAACATCTGCCCGCATCAGTTTTGTCCCGAAGGAGATCGTCGCCACAAGACATTATATTCGTTTGGCTGCACACGATATTGCGGTTGGACTTGGATTTACCACCGAATATATGAGTAAATATCTCACGAAAGAATCAGCACCTATCTTTATGAATGGCGTACCAAATTATCTCATGATGGTGCAGAGTAACACTGTGAAGGATAAGGCCAAGAAGCACTACAACTGCCAAAACATCAAGGGAATGATTTTGGATTATAAAGGCAATACTTATTCCGGATATTGGGAGAGGCGCATCGCACGGGATGAATTGATGAGTCCGTACACTGGTGAACCCACTGGCATGTACTACACTAATCTGACACTTGCAGCATTTCATGCTATGCCCTACTACCAAGCTAATTTCAGTATGGCAGAACCGATGAGTTGGGGGAATCAATCGACTTGTGACTTTATTACAAAAAAGTGCACCGAAATCATCCAAGATTCGAAGTCCTCTAACGTCTTCTGCGAGGAAAGTGATAAACCTGTACTACAGTGCACTTCTGACCGCTTTGGTCTTGGTGTCTGCTCCAAGGTTGACACGAAGAAGGATGGTATCCCCACTGAGTACAAGTTCTTTGAAATTGTTGGTGAACAGAGTGATATGATGAAAGGCTGTCCAATCATTAAGCCGTTTCAAGAGACCATGTGCGAGAATGGTAATGAGACACTGATGCCTGGAAGTATTGTGGACAAGATGTCACGGTGTCTGAGTGTAAAGGATCCGCAGATCAAGGATGTAAATGGAAATGATGTAACCGTTCAAGGCATTTGTGCAAAAGTGAAGTGTGAGGATGGCAAGGTGCATGTGCAGTACAAGGGTCAGAAAAGCAAAGAAACGTGGCATGTGTGCGAAAATGATGGCGATACTATTGATCTGCAGGGTTCAGTGTTCAGCGGTGGAACTATTGTGTGCCCCAAATACGCTGAAGTGTGCACCGGGCTACCGGAAACCGAACCTTTTAACATTTCATATACAGAAGTTGTGAACCCCAAGGAGAGGGAGGAAGACTCTAAGGAGGAAACCAAAGAAGAGAGCAACTCGAGCAGTAATTCGGAAGCAAGCGGTGTGTCGGTAAATGCTGAGAGTGGAACGTCCACTAATACACAAGGGGAAAGTGTACCAGCAGCCCCTGGTGTTAACGGCAGTTCTCAGGAGTCCAGTACTGCGACACAAAGTGTCATGCAGCGTGCATCGAGAAGTCGTCGTCATATTGCTGATGCTACTGCTTCTCAATCCACATCTAATCCCAACAGCACTGAAGACGCAATACAGTCCCCAAGCACTGTTTTGAACGGGACGAACTTAACTGAAAGCCAAATAAAAGAAGAAACATTAAAACATACAAATGTAACGGTTATGTTCGGTACTGACAGCAGCATCACGGTCTCCTACATGGCCCCTCTTGCACTTCTTGTGTGTGTTGTTGGTTTTGTGATGGTTCCATGAGAGATCCATTCATATTCAAAATAATAAACACTTTTGCTTAACACGGTCCTTTGAAACGAATCCCATAAACCGCAATACATTGGCCGTTCTTTTTTTTTTTCAGCATTCTTCATTTCATTGGAAAAATTCTTTTAATTGCTTATGATTTATTGCTATGATTTTATATTCATTTTCTGAAAATTTATAATTCTTCATATATGCATTCTGCAGAATCCAACTGTTTGTCGTCATATACAGTGGAGTGCAAATATATGCTGGGAGAGCGACGGCAGTGTAAGGTGAAGAATAAAAATATACTTGGGAGTTTTATTTTTGGTCCTTTTTTCTTTTTTTTTCCAGCATTCTTCATTTCATTGGAAAATTTCTTCTAATTATTAATGATTTATTGCTATGATTTTAAATTCATTTTCTGAAAATTTATAATTATCAAATATACATTCTGCAGAATCCCACTGTTTGTTGCCACATACATGAGAGTACACACATAATATGGTGAGAGAGCGATGACAGTGTCGGATGAACGATATACATTTACTTGGGATTTTTATTATTGGGGATTTTTATTTGTTTATTTGATGAAAACGTTCTTGGTAAGAAGTTTATGTTTTTCTGTAGTTGTTTCTTTGCTGATGTTTTTTTTGTATTGTTTATTATAAGTGTTGCTCTTTTCCCCTTTTTTTTGTCTTTCGATGTTGTTCCCAAATCTCTCAAGGATACCGTGAGGTAGTTACACTGAAGATGATTGCGTGGTACACATTACCACTGTTTACGTCCTTTAGCTGTTGTAATTCCATTAGACTGCAGTAGGTGCCGCTGCTCTTGTTAATGTGTAGCCCTTGATATTGCATTTATCGTGTTTTTGTGTTATTGTTGTTTCTGAGAGTATTACTATCGATGTATACATGTGTTTAATTCTTTGCTAGATCCAATATAATATCACTTCATGCTTATCTTTCATTCTCTCCCTTTTCCCTCCTCTCTTCTTTTTTTTTCTTTACTGCATGTACCCTAGAAAAGCAACACAAAAACAAAAAAAAAAAAAAAACACTCACACCACTACAAAATGGAGAAACACTCCATGCGTCACCTCCTGTGGACTGCACTGTTCCTGTTGTACTGCAGTTGCGGGTGTTTGGCTGCTGTTGTGCAGCAGTTACCACAAAAAGGAGAAAGTGGTCTACAGGCATACACCGTCTCTGATACTCCTGATGAAGAATGGCATCCCATTCAAATTACTGTTTCTGCAGAGAATGTGGATCAAGTGATTCGTCGTTGCATGAAGAGGAAAGAGTTATCAGAAGATGATCGAGCCATCNAAAAAAAAAAAAAAGAAAAAAATTTGCAAGGGATAAAAGATTACACTTATTATTAACACTAAATGTCTGCATTTTTCTTTTTCTTCCTGTCATGACTCTTAACTCCTTTATTCTTATTTTTTTTTTGTTTTAATTCTTCTCTTCCTATAGAAGGAGACATTAAAAGGAGGGGTCACATGGAATACAAGGAATGGTTTTATGAACATCGGCGCATGCTTATAGCGGCAGTATTATTTATTCTGTGTGCTTTATTGCATGATTTACTATTTTCACTTCCTCCCAAGGAGGACTCTAAGGATGGAATTAACCTTTAAATTTTGCAAAGAGAGGGAGGAGTTCAATTCAGTCATCATAATAAAAAAAAGAGAGATTATGAATATATATATAATATTGTTTTTCTTTCCTTTCTGTTTTTCTCTGAAATTTCCATTTCTCGTGTTTATCTATTAACCTTCTTGCAGAGGCAAGATGGTCGAGTGGTCTAAGACGTGACGTTCAGGTCGTCATCTCTCCGGAGGCGTGGGTTCAAACCCCACTCTTGTCAATGTTTTTTTTATCTTTTTTTCGTTTCCTTCCTACTTCCTATGGGCTTGTGGTTTCATTTATGAAATCTGTTGGCCTTTACTGTAGTTGTGAAAGAGAATTATGTAGTGCGAGAGAAGATATTGGACTGCGTGCGTAACACATCAATGATGGAGATGAGACTATGCACAAACAAACTAAAGTCCCCATCAAAGCAGGAGAGAGAAGAAACACATGGATGCTGCTCTCTTAACACTGCTGATCTAATGACACTTTATCCCATTCAATAGAAATGGAAACATACATTTCCTTGTGTCCCATTCTAAGCTTTCCTTCTTTATCTCTGTAATATCGCGTTATGTTTATGATTTGGGGGAAAAAAGTAACCGGTCACACCTTAATGGGAGTTTCCATAGCACAAATGATACCTGACTCTCATAGGTAGAAGAAGAGGAGAATGTTCCTTTATTTGGTGCGAGAACTCATTGAGTGGTAGTGGTACAATGATCCTACTACCCATCAATTGTAACAAAAAGTGAAAGGGGAAAAAGAAAGAATAATTGAAGAACTCTTGGAATATACATTTTGATAAAATGGAATGAAACAAAAATCTCTCTTTGGGGAATACATTGCAATGCTATTTCCCAGTGCAGAGATGTTCTACGCCTTTTATTGATAACTACAACACAAGTGGAAATTAATATCTCTGTTGTGGTGAAAGGAAAAACATTCCTACTGAAAGAGTATTAATAGGAGGCGTACACAACTGCAGGGAGTGAATAACTGAGGAGTGATACTGAATTGAGATCTATACTAAATAAACAGAGTTAAAAAGCAGTGTGTTGTACATGTTGCTTTCTCTTGGAAATGTGAGTAATATTCTTATAGATAGCGTTCTGTATGTATGTGTTGTGGGTATGATAATTAGTACAGGAGTGTTTTTATAGCTGATGGAATATTTCATATAATCCTCTCCTCTATTATTTTATGGCTCTTCTGATGTATAATTTTTATTTTATTATGCTCTTCTACTCCTGATATGGATGAGCAAAATGTACCAAGTGGAGTTGATGGGTTAGTCAAGCATGAGGTACGCAGTCTTTTTCTATGCAAAGGAGAAATTTAACACATATTATCATTCGCTCTTTCCATGGTTTTTTTTTCTATCTTTTTCACTTGTTTAAAGGCAGTACAGCACTCATTATTATGACTATTTATTATTCTCTGCATTTCTTACAATTACCATAAAACACCAAATCTGCTCACAGTGCATTGTTGTTGATACTGTTGGTATGTATCTACCACAAGAGGGTATATTGAAATCTTTTCTCATTCTACTTTTGGCATAACTACTGTTCTTCTCTTTCTAAGAGTATTACTGTTGATGTATACATGTGTTTAATTATCTGCTGGGTTCAATATAATATTTCTTCATGCTTACTTTTCATTCTCTCCCTTTTCTTCCTCTCTTTTTTTTTCTCTTTACTCTGCGTGTACCTTAGCAAAGCAACACACACACACACACACACTCACACCTCTACAAAATGGAGAAACACTCCATGCGTCACCTGCTGTGGACTGCACTGTTCTTGTTGTACTGCAGCTGCGGGTGTTTGGCTACTGTTGTGCAGCAGTTACCACAAAAAGGACAAAGTGGTCTACAGGCATACACCGTCTCTACTGCTACTGATGGGAAAGAAGGTGACTGGCAACCCATCCGCATTGCTGTGTACACAAAACGTGTGGAAGATGTGCTGAACTTTTGCGGAAAAAACAAATTGCCGCCTGAGTACTACGAAGAGTTTCTCGACCCTCAAGAGTTAGAAGAAGAATTTGAAGAGCTTTGTGGTGATGATGGGCGTAAAAAGATGATGATAAAGGAGAAGAAGGATATTCTTTTGGATAAAGTCTTGCCTAAAGCTGTAAAATTGCACGCAGATCGCCTTAAGGTGAAACAGGTGAAAGAAAGTCTAAAGATCGAAAGTGACACTGTAACCGAACTTCCAGAAGAGTGTGAAGCTTTTGGCATCCCCCAAAGACATAAAGAGAAAGGTATTCCTGATGCTGATTTTGTGATTTATGCTTTGCTCACATCCAGTACTAGAGACGTTAAGATTTGCAGTAAAGATGGCGAAGGGAGACCAACGTCTGCTGTCATCAAATTCATCCTGCAGGATATAGAAGCAACACGGAAGTATATTCGCTTTACTACACATGAGATTGCACATGGACTCGGGTTTCAACATGAGTTTATGGACAATTTGACAATGATAGAACCCAGCAACAGTTATCTGGAATCTAAAGGAGTCTCGGTCCGTGTAAACACTCCCCGTATTTTGAGATTTAAAAATTCTGTCGACATGCTGAAGAATCATTACGGTTGCGAAAATGGTGAAATAAAAGGTTTGTATTTGGAAAATTATAATGCCTGGCCATCCCACTGGGGGAGTCGTATTGCAAAGGATGAATTGATGAGTACGTACATTGGTGAACCTACCGGCATGTATTACACTGCATTGACACTTGCAACATTCCATGAAATGCCCTTCTACAGCGCAAATTTCTCCATGGCAGAACCGATGAGTTGGGGGAATGAATCTCTATGTGAGTTTCTTAAAGGTAAAAAAAAGGAAGAAATGTTGAACAGTCACCCCAACATGTTCTGCAAGAAAGAAGAGAAGAAGGAGATCCTACAGTGTACCTCTGACCGTTTTGCCCTTGGTATGTGTTTAACAAAGAAAAGCAGCCTGGATGTACCGCCTGCGGGATACCAATATTTCAGCGATATAAGTGTTGAGTGGGACGGCGACTTGATGGATGGTTATCCAATCATTAAACCCTTGATAGGTACTGCCTGTGAGGACGGTAATGAGACTCTGTTGTCTGGCAGTCTTTTCGGACGAGATTCACGGTGTTTAAAAGCAGATGGTTTGAAACTCAAGGATTCAAACGGCACCCCCCTTAACATTGCTGGTGTTTGTGCGAAGGTGAAATGTGATAATGAGAAGAAGAAAGTGAGTGTACAACTCAAGGGTTATGAAGAAAATAAGGAGGAGTGGCATGATTGTGAAAACGATGACAAAGCAACTGTTAAACTGGACGGTTCAGTGTTCAGTGGGGGAACTATTGAGTGTCCCAAATACGAAGAAGTGTGCACAGGGATGCCGAAAACCAATTCCCTAAAAATTAAGTATTACAGTGGCACACAAGATCTTGAGGCGCGCGAGGTTGTAGTGAATGACGACGATGAAAAAAAAGAAGAAGTAGTCAAAGATCCGAATCACAACGAAAACGGAGAGACAAACGAGGAAGAGCCGCCTGCATCTCCCCCAACTGTTCCTGGCGATGTTGTGGAGGAAAACGAAGAGGTGCCCCCTGAAAATGACAACAATGGAACAGAGACGGGGAAGGAACCAGGTACTCCAGAAGTGCCACCCACTACAAACGGAGAGACGATGGAAGAAGAGGAGGTGAAAGAGGAGGATGAGGAGAAGGAAAATGAGAAGAACGAGACTGATGTGGTGCCCAGTGGCAATGGAACGACAACGGAAGAGGGCAGTGGGAAACAGCCCACAGACACAACAACCGGTCCCAGTGATGAATCTCATGAAGAGGTCAACAACAATTCTAGTGCAAGTGAAGTTCCACCAAACACCGAAGATTCACCGCAAGAAAAACCATCGCAAGGCGAGAATTCACCGGAGGCTGAAATTCCATCGGAAGAGATAGAATCATCAAAGCCAGAATCCCCTGATAAGAACGACACAACTAATATTGAAAATGGACAAGATGATAATAACACGGGGAACGACTCAACTGACGGTAATGTGGAAAATACCAACACCCCTACAGGTGTCAATACTGGGGGGAACGCTGACAAGAGCATCGCTCTCTCGTTCTTTGAACCTCTTATGCTTCTCGTGTGTGTTGTTGCTGCGGTGGTAGCCCTGTGAGAGCCCCACACGCATATTTTAACTTATATAATATTATAATTTTTTTTTCAATTTATATACGCATTAAAAATAATTGATTCCCTTCCCTTCCCTTTTTCTTTTTTTTTTGCTTGGGCTCGAGGTGGTCTTCACTTTATTTCTGAGAGACTGCATAACTATTAATCTTTTCTGACTATATATGTATATGTCTGTATCTATATATATGGTTGTGTGTACACGAACACCGTGATTTTTTGTTTTCTCGGAGTATTAATTCTTATACGCTACTTATATATACCGTGCAGCTTCACGGTACTCTAACTCGGGTGTACAAATGTACGCAGATACCGAGTGTAAGAGGAACTGGGAAGTGCATGCACACCTCTGTTTTTTTTTTTTTTTTTAATTGATTGGAGAATTCTTTTTTGTTCTAATGGGCTTCTTTTTTATTGAATGAAAATGTTCTGGGTAAGAAGATTATGTGTTTATGTTTTTCTGTGGTTACTTCAGTGCTGATGTTTTTCTGTGAGTATTGATACCTCTTCTGCTAGTGTTTTTTTTTATTATATGTGTTGCTTTTTTTTTCTTTACCCTTCCCCAAGTCTCTCAAGGATTCTATTTGATAGGCACACTGAGAATGATGGTGTAGAGCGCACATATCTCTCTGTTTACGTCCTTTAGCTGTTGTGATTGGATTTGACTGCAGTCAGGTGCCGCTGCTCTTGTTAATGGTGTGTAACCCTTGATATTGCATTTATCGTGTTGTTGTTGTTGTTTCTGAGAGTATTACTGTCGATGTATACATGTGTTTGATTCTTTGCTAGTTCCAATATAATAGTATATTTCTGTTGGCATTCCGTATTTTATTTTGCTATTTGTTGCGTATGCTTTAGCAGTGCATCCGCTCATCCATTGACGTCTAATTACGGCTGTGGTTATACTATCGTATGGATGTTATTGGTGTCATTTTGATTCCAGTCGTGTTGGATTTATTGCTTTTCTGAGTAATCATAGTGACGTGGCTATGTTTGTAGTTTACTGTGTATTTCATATATTCACTTTTGTTATTTCTTGTGGTTTATTCTTTCCATCATTAACAATTCCATGGGTTGTTGTGCAATAAATTATTCTTGATAATTGACTACTTCACTCTCCTCTTTTCCTCAGGTACACCCAGGTCATTGGTGAATGATCTCTAATGGAACCTAAGAGTATTTTGCACCTCTCTTCTAGTTTGTTTGTCCCATTTTTTTTTATTCTTTCTTTTTCCTGGTAATGCTGTTATTGGTGTGGTTGGGGGAAAACAATCGCAGTGAAGCAAAAAGAAATGGAATGTTCACTTATTGAGTCCATACAATGCTGTACGTGGGACGCCATTGATAATAATATCACAAGGGGACCATGTAAGTGTTTGTTTGGGGATGGGTTAAACAATATCTCTGCTGTATTGTTGTGTGAATGCCATTCTTTCCACTCTGTGATGTTTTGTATACCTTTTCTTTTTTTTTTATTGTTTTCTGTGTTTTTATTTTATTTTTTATTTTTTCTCACCTCTCTCCTGTACACAAGTCGTAATAATTGTTTTTTTCCATCAAGTTTACATTTGCTATACACATAATGAGGCATCCACTCCTCCAAGTGGTCCTATTACTGTTCATCTGCGGTGCTGTGGCCGGACCCGCATACGCCTGTAATTACGATGAAATCAAAAAGAAGAGTGGTTCTCCTGTCGTTGTGGTGAGAGAAGTACCGAAGAGTGGACAGGGCGCTTGGCAGACGTACACCGTGGCGACATCTGAAGGTAATGAGAATGATGATAAATGGGAACCACTGCGCATCAATGTATCCTATGAAAATCTGAAAGAGGATAAGTACTGTGTAAGAGAGAAACAAGAGCTCAGGGATATGTTGAATGGCGAAACTGTTCCGTGTGCCCCTTATGAAGTTATAGACGAAAAAAAGAAAAATACAATCACCAACAAAATTCTACCTGAGGCTATCAAATTGCACACTGATCGTCTCCTCGTTCAGCGGATAAAAACACCTTGGAAAGTACCAAAGTTCAATGAAAGTTCTGTTTGTTCCAACTTCACAAGTCCAGGTGACCATACATCTCAGGATGTGCAAGACGCTGATTTTTTGTTGTACGTGGCTGCTGGACCGAGAGATGATTATGCGTCTGCAACCTGGGCTGTAACATGTGCTATTGATGGTCAAACTAATCGTCCAATGGTTGGTGCCATGAATATTCATCCAATGCATGCAGATTTTACACGAGCTTATGTTCGCTTTATTGCACATCAACTCGCACATGCTCTTGGTTTTGACTACGAAAGGATGAAGTGGCGTGGAGTGACAAGAGATAGTAGCCGTCATGAGAAAGACCGCGTGTTGATTGACTCTGAAAAAGTACTGGAAAAGGCAAAGGAACATTATAACTGTGACAAGCTAACAGAAGTTGAGTTGGAACATAAAGCTAAAGGGGTTACAACATCTCACTGGAATCTGCGCAACACAAAGGATGAGTTGATGAGTATGCATACTTCCACTGGAGCGATTGAGGGTATTGGATATTACACTGCACTGACAATTGCATCATTTGAAGATTTGGGATTTTACAAGGGAAATTTCAACATGTCTGAACCAATGAGTTGGGGATACCATGCTGGTTGTGAGTTTCTCAAGGCTACTTGTAAAGAGAAGGACAAGCCCGTAGCTGATGGTAAATCCTGCAGTCCGTACAAAGCAGGTTCCTGTACATCCGATCGCTTGGGTGTGGCAAAATGTGTTTCATCCAATAGAAAGAACGGGAACCCCATCTGTCCCATCCTCAAGCTAAATGACAGCTTTTACTGTACCGCAACAAGATGGGGAATCCCTAATTATTGGCCAGGGCTACATGGAGATAATTCTTGGTGTTTGGATGCTGATGATCTGACATTTAATAGCGACAAGGGAGAAAGTGTGACTATAAATGGCATGTGCACGGCAGTGGACTGCAGTGATGATGGCGTTGTTAAGGTACAACTTAAAAAGGATGGTGAATGGTACAATTGCCCAAAGGAGGGGGGTGAAATTATTCCACTAAATGGAACAGACAAACTTTCGTACGTGAGTGGAAGCATAAAGTGTCCTAAATACGATGAAGTGTGCACTTTGAGATTCAATGGAAGCAGTCGTCTGAGGCTCCAAGTGGAGGAAGAGAAACAAAACACACCAGCAACCGAAGAGAATGTTGTAAACGGCACAACTGACACCACTGCTTCAGATCTCCCTCCGTCCACTGCTGTTTCGGATAACCAGAGTCTGCCAACCAATACAGAAGATAGTGATCACAGAACTACAACCACACCAACTACTGCAGAACCGAATAATGCTCATACCACAGGGAGCAGTACTACTGACTCTACAACACCAACTGCTACAGTAAATGATAATGGTAAAACCACAGGGAGCAGTACTACTGACTCTACAACACCCCAGGTATCCGTTGACCAGAAAAATAACACCATGAATATTGAAATTGTCTCCTGGCCAGGTAAGGATCAAAGCCAGGCTACAAAGGT